GAATCCTTCCTTCCTTCCTTCCTGGAATCCTTCCTGGAATCCTTCCTGGAGTCCTTCCTGGAATCCTTCCTTCCTGGAATCTTTCCTGGAATCCTTTCTTCCTTCCTGGAATCCTTTCTTCCTTTCTGGAATCCTTCCTGGACTCCTTCCTTCCTTCCTGGAATCCTTCCTTCCTGGAATCCTTCCGTTCTTCCTGGAATCCTTCCTTTCTGGAATCTTTCTTTCCTTTTTTACTGGCACAGCCAACCTTCCCTGGGACTGAGAAAAATTCAGCTCTTTCCTGACCAAGGCAGCCTTCAGCCATCCAGTAAGAACTTGTCAGACTCCATTTCTGATCCACCCTGGCTCCAGCAGGACCCTCTAAAGACACCTTCCTTCTCACATCATCTCTATACCCATAAACAAAAACGACAGGTAACCCAGTGTCCATTTTCCCTCCACAGCACCATGAGATGCAGTGCCTTGCCCTTTAGTCTGGAGTGGAAAGATGCCAGAGAGTTGGGAAGAGGTTTTCAACTGTGACAAATTGCACTGCTGTGACCTGGCTGGAGCCAGGTGGAGTCTGCCAACGTATGCTGGCGAAAGAACCAGAGCTCCCATTTGAAGCAGTGGACAGGACCTGGGGCTTTAGAGCACAAAGCAGCATTTCAGATCAAAACAGTAGCAGCAGGAACAGCAGCAACAGGATGGATGGATTGTGAACACAGCTGGAAACAACAGGCATCCAGTCTTAGCAGGGCTGTGGCTGTGATGTGCCATGCCACTGACTGCAGCTGGGGCTCATAATCCCCGAAGGCACCAAAAATCTGAGCAATTGGCATTGACTGAACTCTTACAATAATATCCAATACCCAAATGCAGTTTTATTGAGTTCATTTGACTTTCCTCCATGATGTTGAAGAGGAGGCCAGCTTGTCTCTCTGCAGCATATGGCTTGACTATCCTACCACAGCCACATCCAAGTCTCCTGGGGTACAATGCAAAAATGTGTATTCTATCACCATCTGTTGAAATGTGGGAGGGGTGGTGATCCTTATCTCTGTGGGAGATATCCTCTGCTGATGTGCCATCTGATAAGATCAGGGGGATGATCATCGTTATCTTTTCACAACCCATCCTTCCTCCAGAAGATATATTCTGTTAATGGGCCATTAAGTCCTATTGTGTGACTGATAAGATTACATCATCCCATTGGGAGATACTCCAGCCAGGGGCAGGAGCCAAGCCTTTCCTACCTAGATAAAAAACTGGGGTTTGGGACTCAAAAGCAGCCCTTTTCCACTGGATCCCAGAGGAAAGTCGGACCTTTTCCACATCATCACTGGACCTTCGGAGGAAAACTGCACATTCTACAGGAGGACTGAAGCCACCATTTATACGGACTGCTACCAACACCCTGACTGACAGGGTGTCAGGTTGTATTCTGACTCTGTCAGTGGTTTTTCTTTTGTATTATTGCATGTATTTTATTTTTTCTCCTTTTTCCTATTAAATTGTATTACTGACTTGGAGTCTCTCACTGGTTTTGCTTTCAAACCAGCACACCAATGAATAGGAGGAAAAAGAGAAAGCGAGAGAAGTCTTCCCAAAGCATGGGAAAGCAAATAATGCCTGATACTAATTTGATCTGATCTGTTTCTGAAGGCAGTGGAGGACACACCTCTCAGATCCATCTGTCTCTCTTACTGAAGAGAAGGGACACAGACACTCCCAGAGAAACCTGTGGGTGGTTTTTACAAGAGAAGAGGAAGAACAGGCAGCTGCCATGGATAGAAAGCAGGATTTAAGAGGGAAAATAATCCTGCTTTCTTCATTCATAACCATTTCTACCAAAGCAGAACTTGTCAAGAACATAATATGGGAAAAACGATAAGCCAGTTCCCCTCTAATGGGATAAAAATGAAGACTTAGAGGCAAGAGCAGAAGGGTGACAAGGTTATCGGCTTTCCCCAGCAGAATATCTGTCAGCCTTTCTGGATGGAGCTCAAATTCCCTGGCATTTCCTTCTGTAACTCGGTCACAGCTGCTACTAGCTCTTAACTTGTCACAGAGCCCAGTCCCCTTGGACTGGCTCTCAGAGCATCTGTGGCAGCCCTGTACAGCTAATCTGTGCCTGTCCCAGTGCTTCCGCTGCAGAAAGCAGCAAAGTGTGCTGCAAAAACCTCAGTCACGTGCCAGGAAAAATTACTGACATCTGAATCTGGCAGGTTTGAGACCATTTTGCTTGTGAGAGCAAAGGTCATAAAACAAAGCCAAGGACAGGAATGCAACGCCCAGGGTGATTGGAAGGACAAACACGCTGACAGACAATATGCAATTTCACAGGCATGACCTGCCAGAGGTCAAGCTCCTCTCGAGCTCCTCAGAGTTTCGTTTCTGCTCTGATAATCACACATGGAAATGAGGCCAGCCCCCCTGTCCCAATGCACCTTTACAGCAGAGAGGAAAGACCCCACACCAATATCTTCTCCAAGGCAGGCAAGGGCAACGAGCACATGGCATATCCTATTGTCCAATGTTGCCCCTCATCCCACACTGTTTTTTTCACCCATCAGTCACTGGCAGCAGAAGCGTGGTGGGAAAAGCTGCGCCTGATTCACAGAGCCCAAGAAGTGCCCTAGCACCCACTTAACACACAACTTCAGGGGCTGCACATCTGGGGAGAATGGTTTCCACAGCTGCCTGGTGCTTGTTTCCCACACAGAAAGGGTCAGGAGTGCAGACAGGGAAGGAGGTAAGCACCCCACATACCTCCTCCGTGCTGGAAACCTGTGTGCAAGAGTGAAACCCTTACAGGGGCACTAGTGTGAGAGGAGAGGGGGCCCAGTCTTTATCCCATGGGGGAATGCACAATGCTCCAAAAAGTCACAAAATAAGGGGAAGCCGTCCCATGGACGAGAGGAAGATGTTGCCTCAGACAAGAGTGCATGGGAGGCGTGTGCAAAGAGGCTGTGCCAGTGGTGCAGAGGACTAGCATGTGCACAGACGTGGGGATATCCGCAACTTGTGGCTCCCATGTCCCACTGCGGAAAGGCGGATACTTCCCAAAAGCCAGCAAGGGCCTCAGGATTTCCCGCAGGATCCAGCACTGGAGGATGCGGGCAACTGGACAACGCTGCAATTACAGCGGCTTCCCAAGGAACTCTGGGTTCCCACACACGCAGCTGCGGGGAAACGCCCTGCCCCAAGTTGGAGAGCCAGGGATGGACACTAGGGAACAGGGAAGGTGGTCCCTGGTGCACGGGAACAACACTGCGGTGTCCTCGGGCTCCGGTGCTGCAGCAGCCTCGGGAACGGGGGTTGGTGAATTTGCGAGTCCTGAGCTGCACTCGCAGGCTCTCGCGGCAAGGGCAAGAGCTCGGTCTGCGGGGGAGGGAAACGCCGGCTGCACGCTCCGGCGCTTCCTTAGCGGGAGGGCGCACTGGATCGTTGGGGCGGGACGCGAGCGGTCCCCAGACCCGCGGTTCCGCTCCCCGCTGCGAGCGAGGCCGCCACGCCGTGAAGAAATCACGTCCGCCATAGCCTGGGCCGGTCTCGCGGACGCGCGGGATGCACCACCCCGGGAAGGGAGGCGGGCGCTGCCCCGCGTCTGCGCGGTGTGGCGGTGGGCGCCATGTTGGCGGGGCGGGCTGAGCGGTCGCGGTGAGCGCTCGGCGCTGCTGCGTTCGCTCCCCGTCTCCGCCCGGGGCCTGGGGGGTCGCGGCCGAGCGGGGCCTCCCCTAGCACCATGAGCAGCGGCGGAGGCGGGCGGGTGTGCGACCTGTCGCGGCGCAACCCCCAGGAGGACTTCGAACTCATCCAGCGCATCGGTAGCGGCACCTACGGCGACGTTTACAAGGTGGGCGTTGCACCGCGACCCGGCGAGGGTGTTGCCTGTGTCGCCCTCTCCGCTGTCAAGCATCCCGGCTCCCCAAAATCTGGGAGGGCATCTGTCGCCAGCGGCGCGCCCCGGCCCTCCCGAGGGCAGCAAGGCCGCCTCCCTCCGGCTGGGTCTGCGCCGCTGCCCCGGCACGGCCCCGGTGGGCGCCCGGCCCTGCCGCCCCTGCCCCGCCGCCGGCTCGGCCGCGACCGCCGGGGCCGGACAGTGCGGGACAGGCGCCGTCCCGGCTTCCAGCGGTCGTGGAGCCGCCCCGACGGTCGGCTCAGGCCACTGCTGCTGCATGCCGGCTTGGGCGGCTGTGTCATGGGCGGAGCTTGGGGGCCGAGTCTCTTCCGGAACGAGGTGGGGGCTGTAGGGGTATGAACAGCTTACTAGCTCGGTTCCAGCCCAGATGTCATCATATTAGTCCCGGTCTCTGCTCCCATCTTGTCGCCGTCTTGTGTGGGAATGCCAGTGTATAGTGTTTGTGTCAGTGTGAGACGTGAGTCTGACCGTGTGGAGAGCAAACGGGTGTCGTTAGGATGAGAGTCTTTCAGGATTCCGACCGAACTTCAGCAAACATCGGAGAATTAAAGCAAAAGCAGCTAAACACAATTTGGATTTTTGGGGGTTTTTTTGAGGGGCTTTATAATGCGCTTTATTTTTTTCCCTGCTCTGCAAGTGTATGTTGTTATTTGTGTATCCAGCTGGCTGTTGGGATGTGGCAGCCTTTCCCTGGGATAGGATGGCACTGGTTGTTACCTGCTCTTGTTTGGCTTTGGAGCAGAGGGGAGAGCTGAAGCTTGTCGTGTGCAGCCTGCTGGAAGCATTATTTGAACTGTGTACTTTCCAAGCATCTTCTGGCCTGTTTTTGTCATCATAGGGTGCGTGTGCTTGAGGAAACTTGTACTGGTAGGCAGGACTGTAGGGAATCATGTAAAGCCGTTCCTCAGTTTGAGGTGGACAGAACTGGTTTCAATGCTGCGTTTCACTTTAGGTGAATGTACCTAGAATGAAGTCTTGTTTGGGTTGGGCCGGTTTAATCTCATCTCTCTTAAATGTCATGTAAGTTTCAGTACCTAAATCCTCTTGTTGCTGCACTCTTAGTGTGCTAACTCCCTGCTTTATTAATTGTTATATTGAAAGGGGGTTTTGTGTTGTTTGCCTCACCTTGTCAGCTTTCTTTGAGTATTTGTGTATTGTGCTGATGTTTTACTTGTCCAGGTTTACTTGCCTTATGCTCTGGGTTTGTTTTTTTATTTTTGCAAACTGTTTTCTGTTGTGTATGTCTCTTTCTGCTGCAGTTTTTAACTGGTATATTGACTCTGATACCTTATCAATTGAATTTTTTCCAGTGTTGTGTGTGACTGATGGATGTGAATTAACCAAGTCACCTGTCTTTATGGTTTCATTTTAAGAATGCTATCTTCAACCACAGAGTTTGGAATATTTATCTATGCAATACTACCGTGCATATGAAACCTGCTAAAAGTTTGTGAAGGTTTCTTTGATGTTTATCATACTTAGGTTGCAGTAACCTTCAGTTTGGTGCTCTGTGAGTGGCCAGTGTTTGGCACTGCTTGTGACTTTTTCTTGTTTGAGGTGCAGAGTGGATTTGTTGATGTGCCTGTACCAACTGAGATAGAGTATGATATAGCAGGATCAGGATACATTAGGCTGGTACTATAATTATCTCTTCTAGATGAGAGATGTTTTCTGATTAGATTGCGGACCCTGTAGAGAAAATGAGAGGTGCTTTTCGCTTGTGTGGGTTATTGCCTGTTTCATTCTGAGGCAAGGTGTCTTAAAAGTGGAGCATAAAAGCAGCCCCAAAACAATGAAAGCCAGTTACTTTTAATGTGACAAAGAAGTAGTAATATTGTCTGAGGTGTCATCCACACGTGAGCTTCCTAATGCCTTATCTTATGTTTGTGAGTGATTTCATAAAGCCCCTTTCTTTTGCCTTCACCTGTCACCTGTAGGTGAACTTTGAGGTGGATGAAATAATAGCGTGGAGTTGTAATCAGCCGTGTGCCAACGGTGCTCATGAATGGTGGGATTTCAGCAGAGTGGTTCTAAGCACTGCGTGTGCAGCTTCAAGCTGTAATTTGTGGTTTGCCCCCTTAGCAGAGAGAGACACATAGGAAAGTGTTTCTGCTGTTAGCAAGCAGGGATTATTGCCTTAATAAGCTGACAGTCTTGTTATGTTGAGTCTTGCTAAGTGCTGACTTTCTGCAACCTCATTTCCTGGCAAAGCATTGAAGAGCTGAATGCAGAGCAGAGTGACACCTACTTCTGTTACTATGTTCTAGTTGAACTGAGCTAGAGCAGGGCATGCTCTATGGTTTAAATGTTTGGGTTTTTTTTAAATATATATATATATTAAAGGAAAGAGAGGCAGAGTCGTTGTTCTGGAGTTTATTGAATTTGACATAAGGGCTGATGGTGGGGACTGAACTACAGAGGTTGGAAGAGAAGGAGGATGTGGTCAGATGGACACAATCTTGCTGCAATGAGTCCTGCTCTCTAGGCTGGTATCTAGAAAGGGAAAAGTCAGTGCACTACCAGTACAGATTTTTGGCTTAAGCAAATATTTTACAATCATCTGCACTCCTACCAAAGTTCAGCTTTCAAAAAGGCCTTGGAGAAAATAATAATGGCTTCATCACAAGAAAGGTAATGGGTAACTTGTTCATGGTATTAGCTCTCTATCAAATATTCAACAGTCAACAATAATGTATATATTTGCACCAGTGCAAATTTGTTGTAAGAGATGAAGTGTTATCTGAATTGCTTAGTTCTTTATGTATTCCTTGTGTGGGTCATTTCTGTTTTTTGTGTTTCTGTATTTCAGTGTTGCAAAGAATTTAATTGTATAGGGTGGTCAGCAAAGCAAAAGAGAAGAATTAGGGTTTATTGGTTGTGAAACAGAGATAATGTCCTGTCAGTTTCAGGAAATATTCCTTAAGTCAGATGAGGTAGTTGCTTAATTTTGTTTGCTCTGCAAAACAAAATTTATCTTTCTCATATTTAGGAGGATGTTTCTGTCTCTTGATATGAAATTGCCATTCTAACAATCCCTAATCCCAGAAACTCTGTAAGTTGTGCTGTTCATTTAAGGTCATAAATGCTTTCACAGGGTTTTCTGACAGAGACTGTATTAGTAGGTTTCCTATTTGTCCCCATTCCTGTACCTTTGGTTTTGGTAGTAACTGCACAGAGTTTGGAAGTATTTTCTGAGGTGATTGTAGGTCCATTTTGTTCATGTGATTAATTTATATCACAGCATATCTTTTTTAAAAAAAATATTGCTTTGGTTTGATAAAGGTTGAACTTCATTTGTCATCTCATAGGTCATTTGTCTAGTGCGCGCGGACTCTTCCAAAGATTTTGAGCACCTTATTGCAAAAAAAGCCCTTATTTTGCTGAAATTCGAGTAGTTGTGATAGAGATATTTTTTTTCTGCATAGGTTATCTATTATACTGTGTTTGCCTTATTTCTGTTCTGTTTGGCATTTATGACTTCAGCCAGGTAACAAAGGAAGACAGTACATCTCAGTGGGGTGCACTTTGAGGTCTCATTTATCAATAAGGAAAGCTTGGTTTTTGTTCACCAGCCCTTTGGCAGAGAGGTTGGTTTTGGTGAGGGAAGTAATGTATCCACCAGCTTAGCTGCCTCATGCTGAAAGTGGGTATCTCTGGAGAACACCTGGTGACTATTGCTGCTTTCTGCTGCCATGCATATTTTGGGGTGCCTGGTTGCTGATAGAGCTTCTGTGTGTTGCTAGAAGAGAATGTGTCCAGGTCAGATGAACCTGAATTTTGATGAACTTAATTTTTTTTGTGTCCTCTTCTCTACATGTGTGTGCCCTTGCTCCTCTTTACTGGAATGATCCACTAGGGCATCAATCCTTCTTCAGTTTGTTGTTTCTGCAATGTTGAAACTGTGCTTTTTGATAGGCATTTTAGTCTTCCATTCTTCCTGATTGACAGTACAGCTTTTGAAGCATCTTGACTTTGTTCGGAATAAATGTCTATTTTTGCCATCTTTCTCTTCAGCTTTAGTTGGTTTTTGAAGCTTGTCAGGTAGGCAGAGAGGGAGGTGGATGTTTTGCCATCCCGTTTTTACTGCACTGAATAAGTGCTATAGGATTTATTTTCTTGGACTGTGGTTTCCTCTGTGCCTTGCACGGAAGTTGTTTAACATCAACTTAATCAAAACATTGCTTTCTAAAATTGTCACTCTGTTGGGTTGTGGTATTACATTTTCTACCAGATATGGAAGCTAATTATTTTTAGCTGGGGGAGTAGTGAGGGCTTGACAGAGGCTGAAGAGAAGAGCTCTGAGGGCTTCAGAGTTGCTTGGGTGCGTTTTCCTGAAGAGTGGAGCTAATGAGGCTCAGAAAGCCTCTTTGTACACTGGGACCAGTTTTCCCATGGAGTAGTAACCTGTTTAGAAATCATTTTTTTCAATAGTTCACGCAGGAAGTGGTCAAAACCAGAAACCCCTGCCTCAGACGTTTGCTTTTTTGGGTTTGTTGTAGCAGTATACACTTTATATTATCAGTTTCCATTTTAAGGATAAACACAGCCTTACCATTTTTAGCTTTTATTTCTAATTGGTGATGGCTTTTTATATAAAATTTGTATCTGATATCCTGCTGTTGTTACAGAGTACACTAGTAATTACTTCCTGTTTAATTAGGTAGTGCTCCTTCAGCTTGACCTAGCAGTTGGTGGAATTTTTGAAACTCCTGCTCAGATGGCAGTCTGTATATCTGGAAGAATATCTTTCTTTCAGCTGCTGCTAGAATTAGCATCCTTCTGTGGTTTTCAAGAGCAGACATTCTATAAATGCTGTATACATTTGGTAAAGTGTCTGCATGTAGATGCAGGCATTGTAGGTTAATTTTTGCCTCTGGAAAACCTATGTTTCCATTGACATAGTGAAATCTGCATTTGAAGGAAGGAATTGAAGG